GGGGAAGCCCTCCCGTTAGGCCCGGTCAACCCTTGGAAAACCTGTGTCGGCAGGGGGAACTCCGGAAGCCTTCACCGCCGCCATGGGAGGCATCTCAGAGGCCTTCCCCACTGCCGATCGTGCTTTGGAGGCACTATCAGCGGCGGGGGGACCCTCCGAGATGCCTCCCATGGTGGCAGAGAAGCCCTGGAAGGCATCCGGAGCTCCCCCACCGCCGCTGCGGGGAAGTCCAGGAGTCCTAGCATGGTCAGGATCACCCGGCGCGGCGCGGCGCGGTGCGGCGCGGCTCCCTTATTCAAATACTGACAATGATATTTTGGGACTTTACATTTAACTTCAATATTTCATTAATTTCTTTTAAAAATAATCTCCAAAACGTCAATATATTCTCACATTGCCCCATACATATGGTGTCAAGAATAATTTCCATGCTGAGACAGAATCAGGCCTGTGGTAATCAGCAGCCATGTTGAACAGATGTGTATTAGAACATGAAGTAATGCCTGAGTGATGTAATGTATTTACTGATTGGCCATATGTAAATGTACATAAATATAACTGTGTAGGTAAAAATCTGTTCCTAAAATTCTCCTTTGCAGCTGCTACAATGCTAGAAAATTCCTGATGGCTTCTAAGATTGTCCGTAAATGTTCTAAAATTTTCCAAATGCATTTTTAGATTTCGAAAATATTTCAGCTGCCCACTTTCAAGGTCTCTCTCAAAAACCTGCAGTTTTCTCTCAAATGTTCTGATGTCACAAAATATCCTTTTTGCTGTTTTTCGTTCAGTACACTGAAGTGTGTTGTAAAATCCGTAAAAAACATGAGGTTGGTAAGCCAGGCCATATCAGTGAGCTGTGGATATTCTTGTTCCTTTTCAGTCATAAACAGCCTAATTTCGTCCAAGCAGGCTACAAATCTCTCCAGGACTCGTCCTCTGCTCAGACATCGGACATTATTGTGCATAAATAAAGTATTATACTGTGCCTGAACCTCATTGAGAAGTGCTGGAAGCTGCTGAAAATTAAGAGCATGAGCCATGATGTAATTCACCATTTTTGTGACATCTTTGAGGATATTGTCTAATTCTTTGCTGCTTTCCCTGGCACAAAGAGCTTCTTGATGTATAATACAATGAAACTGAATGACTGGATGTTTTATTTTGGAAAGACAGCTTTTAGAAATGGAAATGTTAAGATCTGCCTCCCTCAACACCTTCCTGCATTCTGGCAACTTTAACCGACTATCAGTCTCTTAAACACAGGAACAATAATAGGGATGATTTCTGTCTCTTTTCCTGTTAATTTCTTTATACCAGCTTTGTAGGTGCTTTAATTCATTTTCATGGTTTTGACTCTTAATTCTTTGAGGGGGGAAAAGGCAAATTGTTCTTTGCAACCTTGCTATTTCATATTCTGTGCCATCCTGCTTTTCTAACCTTTTTTAAAAGTACAGTGGTACCTCGACTTACGAACTTAATCCGTATCTGAATGATGTTTGCAAGTCGAAACATTCGTAGGTCGAGGCACCATTTCCCATAGGACTGCATTGAAAACCGATTAATGCATTCTGAAGGAAGAAAAAAAATACAAAAAAATTACAAATAAAACACTGCAAGTCCCACGCTGGAACTGCAAAATAACAAAAACCAAAAACACACAAATCCAAAAATAAATATTGGAGCAAGTCCCACACCGGGACTTCAAAAAAAAAAAAATCACCACAAAACAAAACAACACAGCACAGAAACATAACCCCACCAGCCCAAACCCACCCTGCAAAAGCCACACAGAACAGTTTTTAAAACGAGAAAAACAGCACTTACCTGTCCAAAGCCTCCTAGGGATACCCTGCTGCTGTGATCACCAACACCGTGACCGCCGCCGCCATGAGGCTTGAGCCTGGCTGGGGTGCTTCGGCTGCTCGCCCCCGGCCGTGACAGAGGCAACTGTCGCCCAATGTCAGAAGACTTGAGCTGGCCAAGTTTCGGCTCAAGCCTCCCGGCACTGAATGACCGCTGCCTCCGATCGCGGTGGCGGGAGACCTCCGGGAGGTCTCCCAGGGCTTCCCCACCACCATCGGAGACCTCCTGGGGGTCCGATCGCAGCGGTGGGGGAGCAATTTTAAATTTCCTGCCCTTTTTCTGCCGCTGTGGAAAGCCTGAAGGCACCGATCGCGGGGGCCGGGGACCTCCAGGAGGTATTCGATGGCGGTCGGGAAGCCCTGGGAAACCTCCTGGGGGTCCAATCGCAGCAGTGGAAAATGGCAGGAATTTTCAAATTGCTTCCCCGCCGCCGCGATCGGACCCCCAGGAGGTATCCGATGGCAGTGGGGAAGCCCTGAGTGACCTCCTAGGGGTCCCCCACCGCTGCGATTGGAGGCAGTGGTCACCTAGCGCCGGGAGGCTTGAGCTGGCAGGGCACTTGACCGCTCACCCCCGGCCACAGTGGAGCGCCAGGAAGCTTTGGAGGCTTCAGACTGGTAAGTCCTTTTTTACAAAACTGTTCTGGGTGGGTTTGGACTGGGGGCTTATGTTTCTGTGCTGTGTTGTGCTGTTTTGTTTTTGGATTTCTATTGTTTGTTTGGTTGTTGTTTTTTACAGTCCCACAGTGGGACTCGCTCTGTTTATTTTTATTTTTATTTTTGGTATTTTTTTTAAAATGCTGGAACGGATTAATCCTGTTCCCATGCATTTCAATGGGGAATGGTGCTTTGACTTACAAACGTTTCAACTTATGAACACCGTTCCAATGTGGATTACAGTAAGTTCGTAAGTCGAGGTCCCACTGTACACATCTATCCCTACCAAAAATATTATTGTCACATTTACACATTTTGTCTTGTTCTTTATTGATTCTTCCAAATGATACCTCTTTTAGAAAAAAAGTCAAGTGCAAAATGCTACACTAAATTAAATGCATCCTATTTATAAAGCTTATTAAGTAAATTGAAATCCTGGACTTCTTTCCTCCAAGTGGGGGGATAGTGGGGGGTAGCGCTCCACTTGAGTGCCAAGGGAGAAGTCTCTGCGTGCCAGTTGTGGCACACGTGCCATAGGTTCGCCATCCCTGCTCTAGTGAGTAGCATACTCCACAGGTAGTTGCAGATACCTCTCTGGCATCTTTACCTTAAAACCTAGTCATTTATTTTTTTTTCCATTTTTTTTTACTTTATATACACATATCCGTACACAGACATATATATACACACATATGCCTAAATCTCTATCTACAAACGATACATACTGTAGAGCTTAGCCTACAAGCCTTTTGTATAATAACACATTTCTTTCAGCAGTGTCTTCTCCTCATTATTCCTTT